CTCCCTCGCCTTTTTTTCTTTTTTTTTTTTTATTCTGGGCCAGCTTTAGTTTCGAGGCTTGGCTCCAGCTCTTAAGCCTCCGCTGTTGAAAGTACGTTTCTGGCCTTTGCTTACAATGTTGCGATTCCCAGGGACTAAAGCAGGTTTCTGGAGTTTTGTTTAGCTTCTATGTTTGTTACATAGTTTCCTAAACTGCAGGCTCAGAGGCCTGCAGCGGCAGGCGGGGAATGTTGGAGTCCTCCGTTACTGAAGCAAGCAAGCTTCATGTTAGTTTCAAGCTGCCTGGCTGCTGGCCGCCATCTTGGCTGGCAGTTAATTTGCATATTGCCCTGATTAGCCAATGGGAAGGGTAGCGGTCGTACGCCAATTACCATGTTTCTCTTTTATTAGATAGGATATACCAACTTGTAAAAGGAAAAGATCACATAAAATGAGTGGGATTTTGCTGGGAAATTCAAAGTCCATAAACTTGGCTCTTTATTAAAACTATCAAACCTCCACATACTTGCTTTGGCAACATTTTCAACTGAACAATGAAGTTATGAAACATTATCTTATACTGCACAGCACAGCAGCCCCAAATGTAGCACAGTATTATCATAAGGAATGAGTACTAAGAAGTAAAATATGTGCTTAATTCTCCTTATCTACTTACCTCCCAACAGAGGCACTTTCAAACGGTTTGGCTCAGCGGATAGAGTGTCGGCCTGTGGACTCAAGGGTCCCAGGTTTGATTCCGGTCAAGGGCATGTGCCTTGGTTGCAGGCACATCCCCAGTGTGGGGTATGCAGGAGGCAGCTGATCAATGTTTCTCTCTCATTGATGTTTCTAACTCTATCCCTCTCCCTACCTCTCTGTGAAAAATCAATAAAATATATTAAAAAAAAAAAAAAAGAAAGTAGAAAAAAGTGATATATCATAAAATACCAGGAGCTTGAAATGCTGTTAGGCCCCTTGGCCCACTTTAGGCAAGAACTGAGAGTAACACAAGAACATTAATTTTAGCTCAAAGAGTAATTAGCTTTTGTGCTTTGTAATTCGTTCATTTCACAATTACACATAAGACTCAGAGCAACCACTTTGCAGATATAGGAAAGCTCAGACCCATCACGTATCAGTTGTCTATAAAATAAGCTAGTTAACAGTTCTTAGAGTCCATTTTCTGATCTATATTAAACGCCCTATAAGACTGTTAGGAGGATGCAAGAGCTCAGCACAATATCTACACACTGTCACACTGTTCAACAAATATTTATAGAACTGAACACAGATGACACAAAGAATTCTGACCTTAAGAGGCCTTAATGGAGATAAGAAATAAATAAAATTTTAGTGCTAAAAAGTGATACACTTCTTAAAATGGATAAAGTGTCCCAAGAATTCAATAAAAGAGGAACTACTTCACTTTGTGAAGAAATAAGCATTTGATCTGAGTCTAAAAGCATGAGGACAATTTGGCCATGCAGGCATTATGAGAGAGAACACAAGATGAATGGTGTAAAAGTAGGGATATCTCCCCCCACCCCAAAGTATAACTGAGAAAAGCATAGAGACTCAATGAAAGAGTAAGTAGTTTCACTCTTTTGGGATCAAATTCAAGGCTGGAGAGAAACTATTTTTTGTACTCCATGTGCCTCTCTTGGAGAGGAACTGGGCACCGAGTGAAGCTGAGGGGGTTGCCCAAACCTGTAGCCCAGGGTCCATCCTCAGCCTGAACTCTACCATTGTCCTCAGCATTGTAACATGATCCTTTCTCGTTTCCCTCCCCAATTCAGTCTGAACCTCTAGACCCACAGCTCCCTTCAGTGCCATTGGTGACCTGGTTGGAGACCTTGAATGTAAGTCAACATCAATCAGTCGAGGAATCTGGTGGTAAGTAAGGCTAAAGTAGACCATATCTACCCAAAGTGCTTAGCAATAAAGCAAAAGTGGTATGAGTTTTTTTTTTAAAAAAAAAGAGTAAGCAGTTCCATTTGGTTAGATCAAAATCTATGTGAAATAATTTAGAGTTGAAAAGATAAACTTGAACTAGGGCTAGATTATTAATGGCACTGAATCCCAAACTAAGGCATCTGAAATAAAAGTAGGGTGTGATATGTTCTGAGTTATGCTGAAGGAAGATAATCTGGCAGAAGTGCATAAAATAGATTAAAAGATGGAGAAAGAATATGTGTATAGACCAGTTAAAAGGCTACTGCAGCAGTCCACACAAGAGATACTAAAGACTTAAACTAGAGTAACAGCAATGCAACTGGGGAGCAAGAGACTGATATAAGATCCGACTGCTGTGAATCAACAGAATTGGAAAGTAGAGGAATAATACTAGATAACCTAGATGACCATGAGGATGAAGCTATTGTTAACACAAATTGGGGAAACATCAACTAAAGTTACTAGAAAGAACCTAGTCACAAGAACCCCTTTATTATAGTGAAATTCTAATTTGCATTCACTAGTTTATACATGTGTATGTAGATGAAACAAATATGCATTATGCTTTCATATATATATATATATATATATATATATATATTTGTATATATGCAAACACTTGCTTTGCAGAAACAATGATATACATTACACATGAGTTATAACTGGTATTTTAAGAGTTTTGAAAACATCAGTAAAACGTGACTTTTCAAATTATGCAAAAAAAAGCAAATATTGAAAAAATGACATTTGCCTTAGAGGGACAATGTGCTTAAACAAAGGTAGATAGTTTTTATAAAGATTCCTGTATGCCATTCTATTCAACTCTGACATTATTCACTATGGGAAGGTCTCCTTAAAATACAGACTGCAATTAGAAGAGTGTAGTGTTTCAGAAGTTGAAGCCTTTCTTCTCAGTTACACTTACTCTCTGTAGCTCCCACTTCTCAATAAGGTGTTCCACTTCCCCCCCCAGAATTGTGGTGTTGGAGTCATTCAGGAGTAGGAATCCATTTTTTATATCCACGATGCCTGAGAGCTTAACTTTAGTTCCAGGGGGGGTGTTCAGGCTAAAGGAAAGAAAAAACAAAGTTAAAACATGCTGAAGCTCCTCTTCAAAACTGATCAGTGTTGATACACACACACACACACACATACACACTAGTGTATAGATATATATAGAGAGATATAGATATAGATATATAGACATAGATATATATAGATATAGATATAGATATAGATATAGATATAGATATAATATATGTATTACAGGCTAAAGTCACAAGCTGGGAGCCAGTGACCAGACAGTGAAACAACCAGAATGACCAGAATGACCGGTGGCTATGACACACACTGCAGCAGCCAATCAGCCTGATCTGGCCCCCAGTCGGCCCCCAACACCCTGATGGGGAACTGCCCGTGGCCCCTCCCCCATGCCGGCCTGGCCCGATGGGCCCCCATCAGGGCGGGCCAGCTGGATTCCACCCATGCACGAATTTGTGCACCAGGCCTCTAGTGTGTGTGTGTGTGTGTGTGTATGCATATATATATATATATAAAATCACACCTCACAAATAGATAAATAGAATAAAATATATAAATGCACTTTCTCAATAATGCCATACTATACAAATACGATTTTCCATTTTTTCCCTGAGCTTTGGCTATGCATTGCCATGATATACTATATTACAAATTTAAATTTTATCAAAGGAAAATATATCTGACCAGTAATAGACCTAGGAATTTTATATGTATATGAGCTACCATAATTCACAAAAATAATGCTCTTTTTTGTTAACCATGTAATTAAAGATCAAATGAGAATTATTTATTCTAAAGTATACTAACCGAAAAGAATTTTTCTATAATGGACTAATATTATCAGTTTGCAGGTAAACATTACACTATTACCCCTTTTACAGAGACCAGAGACAAGGTGTTTATCCTCCTACCAACCTTTTGGTAGAAGAAACAATGGAAGAAATCCATTTCATTACATAGGTTTATTCTAAAGTTAAAGCACATACACTAAGCCCCACCTCATCTCTTTGCCCATTCAGCAAGGGGTAAAGCACTCCTAATAGGAGTAAAGACGGTCCTAAAACACTGAGAATGGATCATGCCGAATTGGCTTCACATTGTTCACATTTTAAAGCTCGGTGACATTCACTGTGTGCTGATATTTACAAAAGCAAATCAGTGAAAGCACTGGTCTATTCTGAAAAAAAAAAAAAAGAAAGAAAGAAAGAAGAAAGGTTGATAAAAGAGTTATTAAGAAGAAGAAACAGAATATTCCTGTTTTAAAGCTTCAGAGTCTTCACGCAGAGCAAGACATTTTGTGTTACATCCATTGAGTCAGCTCTGACTCCTGTGACCCTATAGAGATGTCCAAATGTCTGGACAGCTTACAGCCAGCTTGCAGCAAGCCCTTATCTTCCCCAACCCAGGACATGTGAGAACAAATGGTTAATATCTTTCCTCCCTAACTAGAGAATACATAGCTTAAATCACCCTGGTATTGCTAAGGCAGGATAGGAGAAGGAGAAGTTAAGAAGGGAGAGTTTTATCTCATCCACTAAACAAAGAAGTCAGCTGTCTTGGGGGAGGGAAAAGGAGGAGTTTTATCTCACCCACTGAAAAAAGTCAGCCATCTTGGGACTTGCCAGGTGTTCTCATAAATTCTGGGAAAGGCCACAACAAAGTAAAAGGGAGACCTTGGAATTTGCTCCGTGCCTAAGATATCTGGAAGAGGAGCCTGGAAACCTGTAGACAGAGGGTATAAAACCCCTTGAATCTCCACCAGGCTGAGAAGCCTGTCTGTGCTTCATAAGCCAGATATATTTTGATAAACTTGCTTGCCATGCTTCTTTGACAAATTCGATTTATTAAGGAGAGGACAGCCCTCTCCCTCCACTCGGTAATACCTTTTCTGGTGACAATAACACCTCCAGCACCAAATAAGGAGCTGGAACACAATGTATGCTAAATGCTTACTAAATGCTTACTTAGGAGAGAAGTATGAAATGAAAAGCTCAGAGCAGCAAACATAAGCATATAAATAACAAAATAGGTGGTTTAACAAATGCCTAATGAAAATTTCCATTTCAGAAAATAAAGCTGAAACTAACCTAATGGGACATTGAGGATAAAGGAGATCCCCTCCCAATTACTTTTCTCCATGCCAATAGGCATGATTATGAAGCCTCTCATGAAAATATCAAAAGAAGGATTTGGAAACATCTGCCCTATGAAGTTCCGCTTTCTCTTAGAAAGTAGGGTGGCTGCAAACCTCCTTGGGAAAACTCATTTGCTATGACCTTTCCTAGAACACTAAATAGTGTAATGGACGCAGCTAACTGTCCAGAAAGAATTATAATGTAGGTAAAGAAATTTGAATGACCTCAAATTTACTGACATGATTGAAAAGATTACTTTTCATGCAAAAACACCTTAAATTTCTGTTTTTATTATTAATATTGAAGCAAAGAGTAACCAACTCCATTCTTACACATTTTTCTATACAGATAATGTAGAAATTTAAACTTTAATTTCTTTTGAAAAATTCTAACATGCACTTAAGAACTCATTCCTTCTTTTCAAAGTTCTTAAAACAAACTCATTTTGAAAAGCACTTTCAAATGCTATAACAAATATACAAAATAAAGTGCCAATCACCTTATTTTTGACATATAACTATATTCTACTGCTGTGCAGCTTATATGACCATCAGTCATCTGCAGCCGCAACATCCTTGGTGCAGCCTGAGACTCTTCGTTGTCCTTTGGTGCAGCAACATTGCGAATTTTCTGAATTTGCAAAACACATGGACCTTCAAGCTGTCAAGACACAAAGAAATAAATATCACTTTCTAGACACAGCTTTGTTTTCATTTATAGTGCATCTCTTTTCCTTAATGATCAGGCTTTATGACTTATAATGATCAATTAAATAAGATCAAAACTGAAGTTATATTACATAGATCAGGGTGGGTTTTTTATATTTTAAGATAAAGAGTCTCGCCGAAACCGGTTTGGCTCAGTGGATAGAGCGTCGGCCTGCGGACTGAAAGGTCCCAGGTTTGATTCCGGTCAAGGGCATGTACCTGGGTTGCGGGCACATCCCCAGTAGGAGATGTGCAGGAGGCAGCTGATCGATGGTTCTCTTTCATAGATGTTTCTGACTCTCTATCTCTCTCCCTTCCTCTCTGTGAAAAATCAATAAAATATAAAAAGAAAAAGATAAAGAGTCTCCTAAAAAACATTTAAAAAAAATTATTCTGGATTCATTTTCAGAAAGTAACATGAAAACTTTAGGAAAACAAAATTATATTTCTGAGTCAAAGTTGTATTAATAGATGTTTTTAGTCATATGTGCTCTAAATCATTCACATAGATCCGCCTTCTCTTCCCAAGCACATTAAGGGACATTCTGGAATTAAAGACTGTAATTTTTAAAGAAACATCAACTTTACAGTAGTAGATAAAAGGAATGTTTTCTATTCAAAAACATCAAATTCAAAGTACACCCTCTTCTGGCATAAACGAAGAACACAATACTCTAAAATGTAAACTATTTAAAGTTTAAGAAGTGGGAGCTATACTTAACTTATTTTCACACTTCCTTATTAAATGAGTTTAAATCTAACGCTATATTATAGTCATTGTCATTGGGGGGAAAATTGTTCTCTTTCCACATTTCAATCAAAGACAAAAATCTAACTCATGGACTAGATATTATGTTAAACATTTCATAAAATGAAACAATTATAGCATGATTGGAAATCACAGCTTTTTCTGTGTACAAGTCTGAAAAATAAATTAACATAAAGTGGTACTTTTCACATTATTAAATACTAGGGGCTCGATGCACGAAATCCGTGCAAGAGTAGGTCTTCCTTTCCCTGGCTGCCAGCACTGGCTTCCCTCTAGCACCCGGGATCCAAGCTTCCCTCACAGCCCCAGCTTCATCCAGAAGGTCGTCCAGAAGGACATCAGAACGACATCCAGTCTAATTAGCATATTACGCTTTTA